TGTTTGCAGAAGGAGGACAGGCTGGTGAGGCTCGAGAAAGCCATCAACCCTCTGCTAGACGATGATGATCAGGTGGCCTTCTCCTTCATCTTGGACAACATTGTAACCCAGAAAATGATGGTGGTTCCTGATGTAAGTCACCTCCTTCAGTCGGTTTGAGAACAGTGATCAGTATAGAATCGGATAATAATCTAAGGCTCGTTCTTCCACTCTTCCCCTCTTTGTAGTCGTGGCCATTTCACCATCCCGTCAACAAAAAGTTTGTGCCGGATTATTATAAAGTTATTGTGAACCCCATGGATCTGGAGAATATCCGCAAGGTGAGAGGCTAACAGGATGTCAGACTTACCTAGAGTCATTTAATATTGGCAGCAGCATGAGGAAACACCCTGTTTGTGTGTCTGTGTTTAATTTCAACAGAACATCTCCAAACATAAATATCAGAACCGAGAGACATTCCTTTCAGATGTCAGTCTCATCCACACCAACAGCATCAAGTATAATGGTAAATGCTTTTATGGATCATTTTACCTCAGCATTTAATTTCTCTTAAAATAAGTTTGACTAACTTGACCATCTTGTGTGTCTTTGACAGGTTCAGACAGTCCTTACACCAAGACAGCTCTCGAGATTGTTAATGTGTGCAAGCAGACTTTGGCAGAGGTGTGTAGAGGATTCTTAGGGTGTTTTCACACCTGTAGTTTGTTTATACTGGAGCTGTTCACACTGAGAAAAATTCAGATGAACTCCAAGCAAAGTAAAACCACATGACAATTTTCAGTCTGCTTTATGGCCAAATGTGTCTGGGCTGGGAGCACGTTTATCCAGGTGCTGTGTCATTTCGCAGCTAGTTGCTAGGCCATACAGACTTTCGCACATCTATAGTAGCCCAGAATACAAATCATGCATGGCTACAGGAAGTGGTTTTTAGCTCAACTTTTGCAACGTGCACCTTGTAGTTGGGTCAGATTGAGGTTGCCAAACAAGCTTCTCTGGAGTTCATTTGGAACTCCACACCAGAGTGCAATTACTGTGTTCACATCCGCACAATCAAACTGCACCAAAGTGGAAAACAAACCAGTTTAATTTAAACTAGCTAAACACTACAGGTGTGAAAACACCCTTACTTTGCCCTTTTGAAGTTAAATAAGGCTGAGTTTGATTGAGTAGTTTCAAAGCAAAGTTAGGAGCAAATCAAAGGCAGTTTGACTCGTAGTTTTAAAAATGTTGCATTGACACAGAGTGGAAATGTGAAACCCGGGTGTGTAAAATCAGACTGTGAAATATTTGTTGCTTGTAATGTATTTTTAACACATCTAAACAAGAAGAGAAAAAAAACAACCGCTTTAGAAATAGTCACCATTTATTGTGTTTGCAGTATGATGAGCACTTGACTCAATTGGAGAAAGACATCTCTACTGCTAAAGAGGCAGCTCTAGATGCAGCAGACCTAGAGAGTCTGGAGCCAATGACGCCTGGGCCATACACACCTCAGGTAAGACAGCATCCAGGGCCTAGTTCCTTTAGGCCAAACCAAGTACTCTAAACTTTTGTGCGTGCAGTAGCTTCCTTGCCACTCCTTGTATTGCTTCTCCTTCACTTGTTCTTTGCACTAACTCTCCTTTCCAGACTTTCACATTTCATTTGTACAATCTAGTTTCTTTACCGTAGTGTCTTCTTTTTCCCAACCTGTTCTTCTCCTTCGTTCCTGCCCTCTTTGCCGTGTCTCTTTGTCCGTGTCTCTGTGCGGTGTTGGCCAGCCTGCTGATTTGTTTGACAGCGGGGCTTCGGGGAGTCTGCCCAGAGAGCCCAGCAGCCTTTTCTCTGAAGGACCTCTAGTGGGTGGTCCAGAGAAGAGAGGGGGGCAGGTATGGAGAGACAGAAATAAGTCTTGCAGCCACATGCCCACCCCTCTTGTATCTATCCTCAAAGCATCCCGCTTCAGTAGGCATTTCTGTTGTACCACCTTTCACACAGGTGACAGTTTTTTTTTCACCCTTGATTTGTTACCTGTCTGTGTGGCTGTTTTTACTCAAGTACTGCAGACCTGTCTGATTGATGTCTGATTGAGGCAAAGGGGCAAATTCATACTGCACTTTGACCTGATTCTGCAGACATTGTCCAGAGATCACATGTGAAAATGTCAACAGTAAACACCACAGTAAACAGTGACAGGCCATCTTTTAGACAAGTTTGTTTCCTGACCCTTTTCATTCTACCTCTCAGGGACGGCACAGCAGAAGACCAGGGGAAGAAGAGTCTGATGTGGATATTGAAGGCTTTGATGAGGATGACGATGGCAAACCCAAGACTCCTGCTCCTGTAAGAAATACAGATTTACTGATACTGAGCACATACACACAGATGTAAACTGCCTCCGTTCTTATTTACCTCATGTTTTTGTGACCTGTGTCTGAAGGCAGAGGATGCAGAAGGAGATCAGGAGTACGAGGACGATGACGAGGAGTTGTTGCTACCTCCTCGCAGGCGGGTGCATGACCAGGATGACGAGGAGGAAGAGGAGGAGGAAGAGGAGGGCGACGGAAGATCTAATCGCCCAGCTCAAGCTAGCGTGCTCTATCAGGATCTGCTCATGTCGGACGTAGAGGATGATGCCAGCGAAGAGGAGGGTGACAACCCGTTCTCTTGTAGGTTCACAATTATTCTCCAACGTTCAGAATCTAAATAGCAAAATCTGGTGGACACAGAATGTCTTTTCTCTTGTAAAATGTCCTGATGAAATGCGTCTCACCCTCCAGCCATACAACTATCGGAGAGCGGCAGTGACTCGGACAGAGAGGTTGATGTGCGACCTGCGCCTCCACGGAGAACTCAGGAGACGGCCCGCATGGGCATGGAGCAGGACGAAAGTATGATGTCATACGAAGGGGATGGGCCTGATGGGCCACACATGGAAGACAGCAATGTCAGGTACAGCAGACCAACTGACCACAGTGAAAACATAAGAATGTAAATGATGGCAGTCTCCTTATCACAAAAGTGCATCTGGAAATGAGGATTTTAATGAGGGAAAAATGACATTTAAAGCTTAATTTTCATTGTCATGAAGTATTTAAATAGTTTTATCGTATGCATATCTGTACCACTGAATCATTCCATGTCCTGATGTTATTTTAAAATCTCTTTCCTTGGTTTTCATCTCAGCTACGGCAGCTACGAGGAGACGGAGAGTCAGAGTCAGATGCAGCCATCTAGTTTGGGAAATGGAGAAGAATACGGCATCAGCGAGGAGGAGGAAGACGAAGAAGACGAGGCACGGAGGAGAGGCCCAGCTGTGCTCTCTCAGGTCCAGCTCAGCGAAGATGAAGAGAGCGAAGAGTTCAGATCTATTGGGGGCGAGAGCGACATGGACTCTGACAATTAGCTTCTTTCGATTTCTTCTTCTGCTTCTTTTGCTCCAGAATCACGAAAACTGAAACAGTTTTAAAAATGAGGAAATGAGATCTTAGGTAAATATGTGTACAGTTTTATTTTGTAAATGACCGTGTTAAACCAATTGTAGAAAAAAAAAACGCACCTTGTAAATTTCAGTTTGTCTTTTTATATATGGTTTCTTTGTTTTATCCCATTTTGCTTCAGTTAAATGTTATGGAAGCTTCTTTCCATCACTCAAAAAATAAAATTTTTTTACCACCTGTCAGTCAAAAGTTAGAGTTACTTTAGAGAGTTGACTTAATCAGAGGTTTGAGTTAATATGCGATAATAATCAATTTTGAGGTCAACCAAAAACTTTGGCCAAGCAAAAAGTGTTTGGGGTTTCTTTCAGTTGGTGGGGAAGAGCTTCCACAATATCCCAAATTCACAATAAAGGAAGAAAAAAATGAAGACACAATTTTCTTTTTTTTTTTCTAATACTAAATAAGCTGCAGCTCCTCTTTCTCAGTTTTGCTTATTGAATGAACATAATTCCAGTAAGAAGTGATTGAGAGGGATTCAGATCCATGCAGTTCAACTTCCCTTTTGATATGTTAATATTTAACTCGTGTTAATATTTGTCCAATCCACTAGTCATTTATCATCAAACATAAAGTAAAAGCGATGGAAAGTAATCATTGAGGTGGAATATGACAGGACTTTAATGACTGTGGTTACAGTTGGAAAATTGTTGTAGATATTTTGACACACCAACAAAAAACAATTCTAAATAAAACAAGCGCAAGCTGATCAAATAATTACACTTCTGTATGCATTTCATTTTTCTCAACTATGTGGTGTTCTTATAGTGCCTGACGTTTAGTGACACACTGGAGCTGCTGTTAAGTGAATTCACGAACAAGGTCATAAACACAGTGAACAGCAGAGGGTACTCCAGCACACACTGAATGTCTGGTTTCACTGTGCATTATCTCAGCTACTATAACCCACTGTCATTTATTTACTATTACTATAATAAGCATCTGCACAGTGGCTTTTGTCTCCTATTTTAATTGAAAATGAGACATCATTAATAAAAAGAAAGGTCAATGTAAAGTCCACTGGGCCCGAGCTGACATATAGGAACATAAAATGGAGAAATACACCATCCCCTACAAATAACTCAAAGATAACTCCATGGCAAGTGCACAAGCTGGTGTTTGGGTAAGGATTCGGGTTACTCTGAAAAATCTAGGAGAAATATGTCAATTGGGCTAAAATAAATCATGCTCAGCGATACAAAAACATTAGCAAACAAAGGTGGCCTCTGAAGTAGTGAAGCTGCACCAACCCACATCTCTGTTTCCTGGAAACGCTTTGTTTGGGATGTCAGATTGTTTAACAACTCCAACTACTACGTAAAGGATACCCGTTTAGTGTTTCGTACTTGACGATGACAGACAGCACACTTCCTGTTGCAACAGCTCTGCAGAGAGCTGCTCATTCAGCTCATCGACCACACTGATGTCTATATTCATACTTGTAATCTATGCATGGAACGTAGTTTGTGCACATGAGCTGTAGCATGCTTGCAAAGCCACTGATAATACAACCTACTGGCTCTACTGTCAGTATTTCTAAGATGTCTCATATGGGTGAATTTATAGGATATCAGTGCTCCTTACTTTTCTACATTCCTGTGACTTTAACACAAAACTTAAAAACCACATGATTTAGAGCACTGTGGTTGTGTCTGCCTGCCATTTACCAAGAATCTCTTACTGAGAAAGATGAACTAGATCTTTGCACATGTAACTGAAAAAGCATATGTTTGCCCGGAGCAGCATACCACAAAGGATTCTAACATAGGCCCAAATTCTTTCACAATCTAAATGTATTCATGAGATTGCAGAGGCCTATCAGCCACAGAAGTAAATAATTACATTGCATCGCATAATTATTATTTTATCCCAGGTAAACACACAGGGTAAATCTTTTATCTCTGAACAGGCAAATTTCTGCCCCAAGCTACAGTGGTTAGCCTCTCAGGTGAGGTAAAAACACGTCTGTGGACAGACAAGCATCCTTTAGCAGACTGAGGAATCCGGCAGGGGCTGAGCGAGTGAGACCTGTTCATCTTCTTCACGGCCGCTGTCCGGACTGATGAGCTTTTCATCGACTGCAGCAAGCTGCCAGAGTTCAATGAAGCTGGGGAAAATGGTGGCAACCAGCAACTTAAGCCCTCCCCCTTGGCAGATGACAGATCTGGGAAAGAATGAATGAATTAAAAAATAAGAAAATGGCTCACATGTAGTCATTAAGATGCAGAGTTTCATATTTTGCACATATTTTCTGGTTAAGAAATAAAAACAAATAACTGATCTAAACCTGATGGAAGGTAAGCGGTTTGGTCAGCAGGTTGGCAGTCGTCGATGTCTAAACTTCGGCTGTTCCTAACAGCCTGGAGGGAGCGGAGGCTGGTACGCAGGGGCGACCTCGTCCTGCCTGGTGATGCTGCTGCTGCTGCAAAAAACACACTGAGCTCACACCGAGGTAGTATAACCTCTAGCATCTGCTGATGTTTTGGAGCTATTTTACAAAAAAAGTTTCTCAAATGAAATGTGGAAAATGCACGACATGTACCATAAGAGAAAATCAAAAATAGGAGTTCTGCCTTGTGTTTTACTCCTTCTTGTTATTTATTTTATATCTTGTTTGTACCTCACTGTCAACCTATGAAAAGCTGTCTGATGAACAGAAAGCTCTCAGCTTCAAAAACTGTTGAGACCATGTCACAAAGAAATAAAAAGAAAGAAGATTCTATCAGTTGTCTACAGTGAGTAAATCTCACTGTAATCCTTTCATAGCACAAGAAAATCAATCACTTACACTGACAGTATAAACATGCCTGACTTTGTGTACCTTGGTTCTGGGCGCGTTTAAGCAGCTTGAATTGGGTGACTTGTTGATGAAGTCTGGATGGTCTGGGACTGTGGCAGCACTCCTTAACTGCTGATATGGAAGAAGTTTCGGATTTATTTCCTGGAGTTGAGTAAGCAGTGTTTTCACCAGTGGTGTTAAACGAGGGTGGAAGCATCAATGGAGCCTCAGGGTTTCTCCTCTGTGAAGCAGTGGAAGGCATGGAGACAAAGTCCTGCCTCAAACCTGAAAAATATGTACATGTTATTGACTCTCAATCAAACCTTTAAGTAGCATGCTATATCACTACAAATATTTTTTTCTATACTCACTGGCTTCCTGCAGTTGAGCCATGATGCGGACATCTTGTAGCCTGTAGCTCTTTGTTACGACATCGAGGGAGATGCTTGGCTCACTGTGACCTGTGATTAATAAATTCATACATTGAAGACTTCAGTCTCTCAGTATTTAGGAGGAATACCTTTTTTTTGTGTCTACTTTTCTGTGTGCACAAAATCCTCAGGAAATCAGGAAGTAACAATGTGGCTGTAATTACTGTACGTCATATATTGCATATACTGCTGAATTTTTGCAGCTTGTCAAATATACCCGAGTCACACTTGAGGAAGTTGTGCCTTGTCTTATCTCAATTATAACAACCACACCCCCAAAAGATACCCAAACAACCAAACTGCGATGAGGAATAGATAGAAAATGACCATAAAGTCTTACAGAGCAATACCAAAGCATAGACCCAATATGCAATACAAACAAACCACAAATTATATATGCATGCTGTCTATTTGCTTTATGTCTTTGTGTCTTAATCCTCTGACAGATTTTTAAGCTTCATCATTTTTTTTCCACCAGCATATTCATCGCTTTAAGTCAGTTAACTCTGAGCTGACATAAACACACATCTGCATGTGAATATCCAGAATCTGCAGCAGGGAAGGGGACAATATTTTGTCAACTGGAAGCTTCCCACTTTCTGTTTGTAGTTCATTCGTAGTCCGAGTGCTACTGACCAATCACAGTTGAGTAGGTAAGGCTACAGGCAAGTCAACAGTCCCCGTGGAGACCAAAAGAGGGATCACATTTCAACAAAATGCAATCTTTTGAACAATCTGCAACTAACTGCACATTTATCATCTGATGACAAGCATTTTGTTTATTAGCTTTATTTTTTTTTTTAAATCTATCTTCACTGATGACCAGGACAGAAGAAAAAAATCCACAGTTGTCCCAAGAAGGTAAGTCGGCAGACTAGCTGATGGGTTACTAGGTTGTGTTTGCGCTTTTTTGTGCATGACCTGACACTGACACAACACAAGGCTGCACATGAAACAGACAGTTAGTTAACGAACTAAAACAACTGACATAAATTAAAGCTAACTTTATCCAAAGCTTATAAAAAAACTACATCATGTGTAGCTGTGCTGGAGTGTAAAGGTCATCTGTGTGTGTAGAAAAGAATGTAAGATAATGACTCAGGTTTCATGGTTGAAGTTCAGAGTATAACTTTTTTAAAAAGATATTACCTGAACTGTCAGGTGTATTTGCTGCTGCACTGGCAGAGGTTTTATTCACAGAGGAGCCCACAGGGACACTGGCAGCATGATAGGAAACTGCAGGACGTTTGTGGAGCTCACGTCTTGATCCTGACAATACAAAAAGTGAATGCCATTAAAGGAATCCTCTTTTATATCAAGGATATTTGTAAGATAATGAGTGGGTGAGTGAGTCTGTAGCGCTTGCTTGCCTTGATCCAGCATTTTTATCAGTGCACGGCATGCAGCTTCCATCTCAGGGCTGGGATTATCAAGAACATGTCGACACCATTTAAAAGCAGATTCCTTTTTCTCCACAGACGAATGCTTCCTTGGAGACTCGTACAGCCTGTGAGGAATAAGACATTATGACTATGTAAAGAAGAGATCTGTTCAGAAGAGCTTTTAATACTGAAGAGTGCTCAGATTGAACTGTCCTGAGAAGCAGCCACCTCAAAGTCTTTAACGTGTCTTTAGAAGTGCACAAATTCAGGTTCATGTCTCTGTCATAACTCAGACTAGAAACAAGCTAAATAAAATGAAATACTTCTACATCACAAGCTGCACTGTCAGAGAATATCACTGTACATCTGATGGCATTTACCAGCTCTCCTCATCCTGCTCTTTATCCGCTATGTCAAGGATTTCCACCAGGTCCAAAGTAGTCTCTTCTTCCTGCAACTCTTCACTGTCCCAAGAGTGTTTTTCACAGCTATAATTGTGCAACATCCTGCTGGTGGCACAGTAAGGCAAGGGTGGATTGCACCCAGATTTCAAACTGTCCAGTCTTATTCTAGCATCCATAGCAAAAGACCCACTGCTACAGCTTTTCACTCTTGCCGGTTCAATATCGGCCCAGATGTTGCAGTATGCATCTGATTTACCCTGCGGCCACATACAGCTGCTTTTCAAATCACTAAAGAGAAAGTGGTGGTTCACACTTGTAGGTGGTAAATAGTATTGGCTCCAATCGCTCATCGTATGGTCCTGGAGTTCCATTTTCTGTGTGAAATCTTCAAATCTGCGTCTTTGAGCTCTCGTCCACTCTTACTCCTCCTTAATGAGGGTAGCTTCCAAACCGGGCTCTCACAACACCAGGCTAAAGGTTGGTTTAAACACAACTCTTTTTAAAAATTGTTCTACACATACAGCAACTGTAGCTTGACTTTACCTTCTGCTGACCCAGATTTATTGAGTGGAGCTGTTAAGTATAGACACGCAACAGATTGGATGGATTTAGGAAAGCATCACGAGCTTATGTGGATTAGAATCCACGAGTTGGCATTCAGGATCACACCATCAAGACTTACATGTGCGGGCAAAAAGATGCTGTAACTATTTCTGTGATTTCTCAGATGAGCGCAACACTACTTCACAGGAAAGATGTCCTCTCTGTGTGGTCGTTACAGCTGTATATACTGTGCTGTTGCTACTGCTGAATGTTTGCAGTTAACAGCTGATCAAATGTACCTGAGTCACGGTAGAGAAAGTTGTGTTGAAAAGGGTGGTCAGATGCTCTCTTTTGTGCAGACAGATTAATAAGAAGGTTTGTGGTTTCCCTTACAACCATGTGAAGATCAATAACTCTCACTTACACTTGTGCATTTTTATGCAGTATGTTTGCAGAAGGCTAAGCCTTTTAGGAACATAAACCAACATCTAACTTTTTTTAAAAAAGAAGCAATAATGCAAATTTAGTAGCTCCACAACATCTGCCCTATAATAAATTTAACTAATGATCCTAGTATTTAAATTTAAAAAAAGACAAGAAAACAAAAGGATTATAAACCTGATTAAAGTGGAAAATCATATTGAGTCCATTCCAAATTAATTTTTTAGAGTATCTTCAATATACAGTCAATCACATACAGAAAGGTTCAAATTCTCTTATCATTGTTCGGTGTGATTAGGTGTGACATAAGTAGGCTATGTGAACAGTACAGGTGGGGCACATAAGCTTGTTTGTTGAGAAATAGTTCCAGCATGTTACGCCCCTGTGATTACAACTTGTTGATTCAACTTTTACAGTTTTACACTCAACTTTGGGGAGCAAGCCAGTAAAGAAGTTTCCTCCTGCCAAACTATGACGTCGCTGATAGCTGGCAAGAACTGGCAGGTTCACTTCGGCAAATCTGCTACATTTAACACAGATTTTTTTTTGTGCTATGGTTGGGTTAAGGGCAAGATCCAACCAAAATCCACCCAAGATTCAACCAAAGGCAAGATGTGAGATTAAGCAGGGTCAAGGCTAACTGGATTAAGTTGGCCTTCACCCTACTTTAAATTGCAGTTTGTCACTTGTATCTAGAGAAATAGTCCAGATGTCATTATGTACCTTGATGGGCGACCGTGGTTCAGGGGGTTGGGAAGCTCATCTTGTAACCGGTTGCCGGTTCGATCCCCAGCTCTATCTGTCCTGGTTGTTGTGTCCTTGGGCAGGACACTTCACCCTACCGCCTACTGGTGTTGGCCAGAGGGGCCGATGGTGCGATATGGTAGCCTTGCTTCTGTCAGTCTGCCCCAGGGCAGGCTACAACAGTGGTTTGCCTCCACCAGTGTGTAAATGTGAGAGTGAATCAATAGTGGTATTGTAAAGGGCTTTGAGTGTCTAGAAAAGCGCTATATACATGCAATCCATTATTGATGATAATTTTAATTAAATACAGTGGATTTTGTATTAATACAACTTTATTTTTATTTTTAACTTTTATTTAGGTAGCTAAATAATTTAGGTGTATATCTGTACAACAAAGTAAAATGGGTGTGAGTGGAAAAGAACCAAAGAATTTTAAACATACTACCAGGCCTGAGTTGCTTTCTTATATTCTTCACTCAGAATTAAGTCAGTATTTTGGTGCCTTTTAAGTTACACGTTGATGATGTACTTTGAAGGTGAGGTGTGAAACAAATGCAAATGAAGAACATAACATGACGAAATTAACATTATAAGTTGTTGTGTCTGCAAAGTTTCATTCAGTTTGGCACATCTTTTAAGGAGGACATAGGGTATACACACATACCATACATGTTGTAACATTGTCTTTTTTTCACTAATTTCAGTGAACCACCCTATTGAATAGCCCCAAAAGCGACGTACAGCTGTGTTTTTGAGGGTGAACTGAGAAGCACAGTAATTATCAGGTTAAATCTATTGTCCTTATAGTTTCTAAAATTCAATTCAATCAATTTTACAAAGCATTTTTGTTGATAAGTGTCCCAGTCCAGTCTATTCTCCTAAATTACCCATTTGGGTACAGTTATTTATTCTCGACAATATCACAACCCATGTGTGGCACATAGGTGAAGATTACTTGTGGAGTTTAGCATTAATTACATGTTAAATCAGACCAGTTGAGCAAGACTAAACCATAGTCACATAGACCCCCACACCACACAATAAGTATCATATCAACCTCTTGAAACCAACTTCTGCTGTTGGTCTGGTTCTTTGGGTTCATTAGCCTGCACTGGTAATAAAAACAGCCCTACTCCTGATGGCAGCTCAATATCACACAGACATGTCGACTCTGAAAATCTATTAGATTAAAAACACAACACACATATGGTTTCTAATCAGTAATTTAAATAAGGGTTAGGGGTATAAATATGTGCCCTGCTTGTTGGATTAACTGAGCAAAAGAACCTGGTAGCTCGTAAAAAAACCCCAAAACCCTGTATATTGCAGAAACTTACATACAGATAAATAAAAACTTAGCAGATATAACGTAACCTTGTGTTAGCATCTCTCACTTAACTGTGTGTGGCAGGAGGCTTTCATGTGCTGCTACTCTTAGCAAGAAAGAGACATTTATGAAAATTGGACAAAATAAACTTTTTTTTTGTGCCGCACTAAAGAAAAATAAATGTTTTAACTGATGTATTTATGGACCAGAATCATGTTTGTGTGCAGCTAATACTATATAAGCGAGCCTTATGTTGATTCATTGATTTCAAAGTAGGGTTTTTTTTAAGTATACATCTTTAACTTGGTCTCTGTTGGTGGGCTGCAGGTGCACACAGAGGTGAGGACAATCTTTGACGGTATCTGTCAGACAGGCTCAGGGCGTACACTGCAGAAAACTCAAATTAATGTAAAGGACATGTAAAACAAAGCACCGAAACACTAGCATAGCTATCGATACTCCTCCAGTTGCCGCCCAAAGGTACAGGAGAAGGAGTAGGAGGTGTCTTCCTCCTGGATAAAGCTGCACCTGCGCCCTGCCTCCTGTCTCCTCGTCACCTCACCGCCCACCGGTTTGTTTCCTGCTCGTCACTCAGTTGTTGTGTCTAAGCTACAGCGCTTATTTTTCAACTTCAGCCACCACATCATGGAGTCCTAAAAAAATGCTTTCCCCTGTGAAATGCGGAGTGACGAGTGACAAACCGGACAGCGAAGGGCCACCTCTGTCGGGAGGGAGAGTGGGGGAAAATGCAGGACACAACCGGCAAAGCAGCCTCCGGGAACCCGGCTGGAGACAGCGGCGCAACCGCAGAGCAGGTAGGAGCAATGCAACTTTGTTATTCTGGCTTTCACCGCATCATACAGGACTCTGTGCAGGTGTAAGACACACGCCAGCGTCCTGATGTAACTCCAGAAGCCCATTACGACTTTACGAGCAGTTCAATGTCACCAACGGGCGCTTTCAGTTGTCTGAAAGATACCGTGTTCAGATGAGGCGGTCCAACCTGTCCGCCTGCATTGCTCTCAGGCTTTTCCTCTTCGTCTGCAGCAGATAAAGCCCTTGCCTCGGTTCAGTTGTTCAGCAGTTGTGTTTACCTTAACTTTTCCCCGCTGTGTACATCCCACATGCACAATGAGTACTCAGCTAGAAAGACTGGTTCAATAGTGGAGCAAATGTGTAGAAACGGGAAATAAAACGATTCGTTTCCCTCTGAGGTGTGGCTGTGGTATATTAAGTGACTGTGTGGGTTTTTGGGGGTTATAATTGAAAATGATTGCTGCTACTTGTTATTCTAAGCCCCCACTCTTTAAATCTCAATGGGACAACTTATAAAATATATCTGGATTTTAATCGTCGAAGAATAGTAATCACCACAAGAAACAAGAGTAACTGTAACCTTAAAGAAGTTTTGTTTTGTTT